CCAAGGCAAGGATGAACCAGGATGGTGCCCAGTGCCAGCCCCTTTGCCACACCCAAAACACCAACACAAGCCTCCAGAGGGCCCAGCCCTGCTGCCTGCCTGCCCCTTTGGGCACATGTGACACTGGAGGTGCCACCAGGAGCAGTGAGAGCCTCGGGATGAGCCTGCAGAGATGCTCGGGAAGAGTGAGGAGTAACAAGGACCAGCACTGCTGCTCCAGTTCCACAGCAGACACAGGGGTGGCAGTGACTGGATGTGGCACTCAGTGCTCTGGTCTGGCTGGCAAGGTGGGGATTGGTGACCCTGGAGGTCTTTTCCAACCCTGTAATTCTGTGAAGCACATCACTTCCTTCAGAGCAACCACACCAGCGTGGGTCTGGCTCTCTCCTCTATCACATCTGGGGGGCAGGGGACACCACAGAGCTGGTGGGGACATGGCCCAGGCAGCTGGGGGTGGTGGGAGCCAGCTCTGGGCTCCTGGTGCCTCAGCTGCCTGCCCTGGCACTGCCAGAGCTCAGCAGGATGTGTGTTTGTGGGCAGAGAGAGGGGAAACGCTCTGCTGAACCTTTTAGCCAGCCAGCAGGAAGGGAGGGAGGCTGCAAAAGGCCACCCCAGCCCTGCCAGTAGCTCAGGAAAGGGGATCTCTGGGCTTGGAATGGGAATTCTCCATCCTCATCTCCACCCTGCTTGGAAAGCAGGGAAGGGATGACTTTGCCATCTTACAGCAGCAACAAAACTTCTCATTCCACCCCTGGGACACTGAGGGGACATTGCCCTGCCCAGAGGAAGGGCTGTAAACCCTCAGAGCTCTCCTGACACACAAATGTGGGCTCCCTCAGTGCTGAATACAACACACCTTGGGGTGTGTTTCCTTAGGAATGCACAACTGGAGCTTCCCCAGTGCTCCTGAGCGAGCAGGATGCTCTGCTGTGCAACTGGGCACTTCCACAACGGGGTCAGTACAACCCTAAAGGACACAATTAATGCCAATCTCCACGGTCTGGCAGAAATAGCCCGCGGCAGGAAGTGGGAATGGCCTTTTATGAGATCACAGGTCCTGTTAATTGGAGTGACTGTGTTGATGTAACAGGCTGAGACGGGAAGGCATTCGATTCATCTTGCACCACCTTTTGATGAATTAGCACTCAACAAAATCAGTGCACCTTCTGCTAAGTGGATTAAAACTGGTCACCTGCTGGAACTAAAATGTGGTTACATGGGGAAGTCACCACTCTGTGGGCTTTCTGGTCAGGATCACATGCTTTTCAAAGCAAAACTGTGCCAGGAGGGGGAAAAAACACCTTCCTGGTACAAACTGCAGAGACAGAAAAGGGGTAATTGGAGATGGGAACAGGGACAGCCTGGTACATCAGCATGGTGCAGCCTACATCCCTGGCTACAAGGAAAATTAAAATTTGTGCATTGAGAAACAAAACACAGAGAACATGGCACCTGAAAAGTGCTTGGGCTTTGTGCAGCAAATCACTGATCCCCTCCAAGCCTCAGCAGCGTGAGCTCCAGGGTCTGTAATCCCTGCTCCTGGGTCCTGCTTCAGCTCTGCTCCAGCATCTCTCATCCCCCTGTGCTTCCTCAGCTCTGCCACTCACCTCAGAGTTTCCCAGTGACGTCCCCAGCTGAGCTGTGTGGGACCAAAGCCTTTTCCATGGGCAGCCCAGGCGAGCTGCCATGTGAGCTCCCTGCAGCACAGCAGGGCCCCGTGCCCGTTCCTGCAGCACCTCCCTCTCCTCACACGCTCCGTGCCCGTGTCCATGTCCTGGGCAGCCAGGCTAACAGGGCTCTCATTGTGCACATCACTTTTTCCGTTCTCTGAGGCACAAGTTGTGCGTTTGCTCCTCTCCTGCTGCTCTGCTGCTCGTTCTTTCCACAGGCTCTGCTCTGAGTGGGCAGCCCACCCCGGCATCCCAACCATCCTGCTGTCAGCTCCGGCCTGGGACAATCTCCTCTTGGAGCAGGGCTTGTGGCACTCGGGATGTGCTTGTGGCACCCTGGACGTGCTGCCCCAGGCAGGGATGCTCGGCAGAACTGCACGGTGAGGGTAAAGGGCTCTGGAGGACGGGCTGGCTGCAGCCAGCGCTGGGCGTGGGAGCCGGGAAGCAGCCCAGGTTCTTGCCACTGCCCAGGAAAACCTCAGGAATGTCCCAGCCGGGTGTGCACGAGGCCCTGAGCCACAGCCCAGCCTGCAGCACAGCTGGCACTGCTGGTGGGGTGTCTGAGAGTACTGAGGAGGCAAAATCCTGGGGCTCCTCCAGTTCTCAGCCTCAGCCCTGCTGTGGTGAGGTTGGCGTGGGTGAGAGGACCCTTCAGGGCAGGGGACAGCCCCACATGGCAGCAGGAGCCACGACACTGCTCCAACTGCCCCTGTGCCAGCCCACTGGCTCTGCTTGTCCCAGTGGGAGATGGATCAGAGGACAGAGTCACCCTGACAGGTGACTTACAGCCAGGCACTGTCCCCATCAGTGCCCTGCATCTTGCACAGGGGCTGCCCCTTCCAGAGGGGTCAGCTGTGCTGGTGCCCTGCGACCCAGGACTGTCCAAATCATGTGTGTCCTTCAGCAGTCGCTGGGCACACTGCAGGACATCAGAACCCCCACCAAAACCCCAGTGAACAGCCAACAGAGCTCCGGGTGAGGCAGGTCCTTGGGTAAATCCGTGTGTTTGATCACAGGGTGACATCCCAAGCCACAGCAGCAGGGAAGGGCCAGGCCACCGAGGCCACTCAGCAGCAGCCTTGGACACACCCACAGGGGACATGGAGCATCCCAGGCACTGACAACTGGGAGGACTCAGAGAAGAGCAGCACAAGAGACCTGGGAAAGCCGCCAGCACAAGGGAGAGGAAGCTCGCTCTGTTTATCCTTCCTTGAGAAGGTTAAGGGGTGACACAGTCACTCCCTGTTGATGTCCCATGCCAGGACATCCCTGAGAGCACGGGGTCATGTCCCCAGCAGCCGGGGCAGGAGAAGGTCTGGTGAGTCCCATGGCTCCAGCCCTCCCCTTCTCCCCAGGGCCCCCTCACACTCGGCCCTTTCGCAATCCCGCCTGCTCCGCTTTTCCCAATTCCCGGCAGCCCCGGAGAGCCGGGAGCAACCGTGCACCAAGCAGGGGAGCCCCAACACCGCCACCCTGCTCAGGAGGGGACCTGACATGGGTCAGAGCTCCGGGGTAAGCACCACCAGGGGCTGGAAGGGCACATGGTTCCACAAGCTGCTCGCAGGAGCAGCAGGAAGCAGCCCAGGGCCACCATAGGAATCTGGATTCCCTGGCAGGATTGGTGTCACTTCCAAAAATACAGGGCTGGGAGCTCGCTGTCCCTCTCTGCCCCAGCCCTGCCACCAGTGTGTGTCCCCACCCCAGGCAAGGACAGGGAACGGACACAGGGACAAAACACTGTGTGGAGCTCGGGCTGCCCTTCCCCTTTCCCCTCCTCTGACAACTCCAGGCTGTCAGCCCTTTGGGCTACCTGCTGTCCCCGTGTCCTGCTGTCACCCCCCGAGGCAGGGCAGGTCACAGCACAGCTCCTGGCAGCTCGTACCCCCAGGAAGCCTCCGCAGGACACACAGGGCCCTCAGCACAGCTCTGCCCGCTCTGCCCGGGGCTCGGCAGCCTTGGGAGGAATGTGCAAACATCATGGGCCATCCCCAGGGGCAGAGGGCGGGCAGGGGGCTGTGGGGATGGTGTCCCAGGCACCCTGGAGCAGGGAGCCAGCCTTCCTGGACCGGCTGGAGACGGGACCGGCTCAGCTCTGAGAGCAGCCGGGAAGGCGAAAAGCCAGCCGAGGAGAATCATCCCCTTCCAGCGCCCCACATCCCTCCATCCATCCTCCCTCTTCCATGAGCTGCAGCGTGTGCGGTGCTCATGGAAACGCTGAGTCCCCACGCCCTGTGCAACCCGCTGCTCGCACGCCTTGGGGTGCGGTACACCCCAAAACCAAACCCGGGCTCCGCTTCCCGTGGGACACCCGCGCTGCCCGCCCCGCTCCCGCTGCCCGCGGCACGGCACGGCACGGCACGGCATCGCCCCCGCACCCGGGACACCCCCGAGGCGCCCCGGCCCCGCGAGGCGCAGCCCCCGCCGCTCCCGGGACAGCCGGGCCCCGCGCGGTACCGCCGGGATGCCGAACCGTGCCGTGCCGAACCGAGCCCAACCGAGCCCTACCGAGTTCTGCAGCGCCGTACCGAACTGAGCCGTGCCGTGCCGAGCCGGGCAGTGCCGTGCCGCGTCCTGCCGTGCCGAGCCGAGCAATTTCGGTCCGTGCCGCCGCGCTCCGCCCCGGCCCGCCCCGCGCCGTGCCCGGGGCCGCCCCGGCCCCGCCGCCGGCAC